TCATGCTACATATTTCACAAACTCTTGAGTGAGATTCACCCTGGAGATTATATAAAAATGCTATTGAATCTCGTTTTGCTCATGTCATTTTAGGTACGGAGATGTCTGCCTGAACAGGCATTGTGTGTTTTGGCAAATTTAGTCTCCTCATTTGAGAAGAATATTCGAACTTTCATCTTTTCCGCCTTTCTTAAGAAAACTTGCTGTTTCTAACCAAGGCAATATTCTAGACGTGGTATTACGTTTACTACTTTTGGGGGTTCATTTGTACGTAGATGGTTCACTGCTAAATGGCCCTTCGATAGGTCTGATTGGGTTGTTCGCCGATTGGTCATTGATTTCCCGTGAAGTTGCGCATATTTCACGCGTTAGGTTACCTACGGCATGAGTGTGGACTGATGTTCTAGTGCGTGGGCATGTCATCGGAATGTCACATTCAGTGACTGAAGGTGTGCGCGCAATCTGAGCACGAAAATTGGGCGACATTTTATTGATCGCTCTCGCTTCTAAACGTTCGACAAAGTACAGTAGGTGGGCTAACTCATGAAATGTCAAGCGAAATTCCGAAATGCGTTTTTGTCTCCAAAAAGCGTAGTAACACTCGTCAGCCCACAACACAATTCTATAATATTTCTGTTACCTCAGCGTGCCGGCTGCATACAAAAATTACACTCTGTAAAAAATGATCACTTAAGTGACATGCATTTTTGCATTGATTTTAGATGCCCTAAAAGTCCAATTATATTCCGTTAAAAACTTGCATAAAAATATTCATTATTTTGCTCATTTGGTAGACAATTACGTCTTCTTTTAATTTTCTACTGAAAGGAAGGACATAATTCGGTTTTAAAAAAATTTCTTATTGTGGGACTTTTAAATACCGTGAAATGGCCGTTCATAAAATGTCATGTCTATGTATTTACCAACGTAGCTTTTAAAGTTAACAATATGGATCAAATCCACTGCAAAATTTTATGAACCCCATCTGCTCTCCTCTTAATACCGTAGAGAAATGTATGGTTATTCTTACGCGGAAAATATACGGCTTGTAGATTACAAACCCTGAATCCAAGTGTAACGGTAGAGTGGGTTCAAACTTATTCGGGCATTGGGAAAGTTTTGAAAACCGAATTATACCCTTCCTTCGAGTATAACATTGGAAGTAGACGTGATTGTCTACCAAATGAGCAAAGGAATGAATATTTTTATGCAAGTTGTTAATGAAATATAATTGGACTGTTAGGGGCATCGAAAATCAATGAGAGAAATTCATGCCATTCAAGTTGTCATTTTTTACAGAGTGTAAATTTTGCATGCAGGCGGAAAGAAGTTCATTCGAAAGCCGACATCCTGAGGTAACAGAACTATTATAGAATTATTTTTCAGGCTGACTAGTTTTACAATCCTACTTAATTAATCTTTTCGAAACGGAAACGCATTTCGTAATTTCGGTTGACATTTCATGAGTTAACCCACCTACTATAGGTCCGTAGAATAACAGGGAAGGGATTGGGGCTGATGTTGTCTAGGGGGGACTCTAAACACTCGATCTCCAGTCGTGCTGGTCGGGGGCGCAGGTTCCCGACAAGGCCGATACGTGACCGGATTTTGAAACAAGCTGACTCTGTATTTTCACTGCAGGTCGTTGGCCCTTGTGTCCTGGCAGTTGCCCAATTGTTGCATACGACAGGAACGCACTGCGACTGGCACGTGATGCTGAGGCATGGCTCGAAAAAACCACCGGGAACCCCTAGGGTAGTCCCGTAAACCAGTTCGGCGGTGACGCACACAAAGTAGAGTTTGAGCGCGGGGACCACAGGAGCTACTCAATCCTATGAGTAGATTTATCTTAGGCCCGGAGCAAGTTATTGAGTTGATAGTGGAAGCGCTCAGCTAGACCGTTGAATGAGTGATGGTAAGCCGACGAGCGCATGCGAGAACACCTGGGGAGGTCAGAAAGAGCGTTAAAAAGTCTAGATTCAAATTTTTTGCCTCGGGCAATGGTAATAATTGTGGGAACACCATAATAGGAAATCCAGTGTTCCAAAAAAGGCACGAGCGACAGTATCTGCAGCGATGTTAGGGATCAGAGCTGCGATGGGCAATCGCGTAAATCGGTCAGTTGCAATGAACAAGTAGTTGCAACCTCGAGGCGTTGGCAAAAGATCTACGTGCACATGTGCAAAACGCGGATCGGGTTCAAGAAAGGTCCCAATTGGGGTCTTATTCTGACGGCTGATTTTGTCTGTTTGATAAGCCAAACAGGAGCGAGTCCACTGGCGGATATCATGCTGGGCCAGCAAACCGGTCGCTGACGAAGCCCTGAGTAGTCCGGATGCCAGGGTGAGCGAGATTGGGCAACGCGGTGAGAACATCTCGTGGCATCTCGCTCGATACTATAAGGCGAGTAACCCCCGGGGCATATTGTATAGGAAGTGGCGAGAAGAGGGATGATTTTAATGTGAAGCCTAGTCTGCTTCGGCTGTTCGAAAAAATTCGCCTGTTCCTGCAGCCCGACCACGTGTTCCAAGCGGATGGAAGGGCGCGTGGGGCATTAATTCGAGGTAGGGAGAAACAGTCGGCGACCTGATTAGACAGCCCTTCAAGAAATCTAATATTCGTGGTATATTGAGAAATAAAATTAAGATGGCGGACCTCACGGGCGAATACCTGTCAGAGGAGGTGGAGAAGGCATAAGTAAGATGTTTATGGTCAGTGTAAATAAAAAACTTTTGCCTTCAACATAGTTACGAAAATTCATAATGAAGAGATAAGTGACAAGGAGTTCCCCAAAGAAAGTGCTATAACTATTTTTGACGGATGTCAGCTTAACGGAGTAGACGGATATAGGTTAAAGGCCCGTTGGGATCTGTTGCTGGAGGGCTACACCTATGGGGCATTTAGAGCGTCAGCAACAGTAGGGAGCGGAACATCAGTTAGAGTGCGAACAGCAACTTAATCCACCTGCGTCTCTTCGAAAAGTTGGAAGGCGTCCACGGCTGTCTGTGAATGAAAATTCGCGCTAGTTGTCCCGTAAAAGATGTGTGTGGGGTAATATTAACTGAGCGAAGTGAGGGATGAAATATCAATAAAAATTTGCAAGGCCTATGAAATGGCGCAGTTGTCGGAAATAAATAGGGGGAGGAAACTCGCAAATAGCCAAAACTTTGGCGTCTACAGATGATAACGGAAAGCATCTACGAGATGTCCTAGGAACAAGAGCGAGGGAATGCCAAAAACTCTTTTGGAGGCGCTGAGGTGAACGCCATACTGGTTCAGCCGCTCAGAAATGAGGCGTAGGCGTAGGCGTTGCAGATGCTGATGTACACTGAAACATACAACTTGAAGATCATCTACATAAACAAGAACGAAAGATAAATCGCGGAGGACTTTGTTCATGAAACTTTGGAAAGTTTGGGTGGAGTTACGGAGTCCAAACGGCGTCCTAAAGAACTCGAAAAATTCGAATGGAGTCGTATTCGCCGTTTGAGGAATGTCGTCTGGAGCAGCGACCCTTGATTTGTTCATAGGTCTTTCCAACAAAAGTGAAGAAAGTATGTTGGCAGAATTCAAACCGCCTCATTAGGTGTTCGATTTTGAGGGCATTCTGAGTCTCATCGTGCGCCTCTTAAAGATTCTTCCACAAGACTTCGCGGGCCAAGTGTGGTGAGATGGACGTGAATAACGACGTCACGTCGAAGGAGACCATGATTTCGTCTTATTGAATCCTCCGACCTCACATTTCCCATTGCAGAGCATATTTAAGTACTTTGCTTAATGCTTTATAAGTTCCGGTGAACAAAGCGTACTCGAAGGCATAAATGACTGCCACGCTTTGTGAGCGGACGATTTTTATTGCCGACGGGTTATTGTGGACCGGAAGATCGACTCTGACATAAAACCATAAAAGCTTTCTACCCACGGGGAATAAAATCTTGGGCCGAATAAAAAGCAAACTATCAACAGCCAAGCTGTCATCTAAGTTTCAGAGGTCAGGGGTCCGATTTTAAACCCGATGGGCAACACACTTGGCACTATGAATGCTAAAAAGCATAGACTATCTACGAGTATTCTGAAAAAATTTGGCCATGTCCACTTTTACTGCATCCATATTCACCTTATTTTAGACGGAAGATTAAGCCACTGCACCGGATAAATGGTCGCAACCTGTGAGTGGACTCTTTTTATTTAAACTGGAGGATGGCAGACTGCTTTTTTGGGGAACAAATTTAGTTTTAAGACGAGACAAACAAATTGTGTTAACTTCCTCCATGCTACATTTATTGATTTGGTTAGCTGACTGGTCGTTAGATAGAGTACGCGAACACTGGAGTACAATGCAATTAGTGAGTGCGACACAGAATATTACAAGTTTATTATTATGACTATCGATCACCCTACTGTAGTTTCTGTCGGACAGTGGTCTTTTTCCAGAATGGTTGAGTACCTGTCTTCACTAACGAAAAAAAGCCCCACTGGAGGAGTATTCTTCACCCCTTTCGTCCGATAAGCCGTCCATAAGGACTGTTTATCAATAAATACATTTTAGAGATGACTGGCAGCAGTTGGTGTCCAGTGCATCAGTGCTCTGCTAAGTCAAACGTCAGGAAGGCAATGTAAGTAGGCAGTCTTTTAGTAGGCCGAAGCTAAAAAGTAAATGTTGCTGAACTCCCGTAGGAGGGGCCGACTTGCGCGAGTTTAAGGCGCGTCAAGGTCATGCTACTGCCCAGCCAATTGGCGAGTGGTGTCAAGGCAGGATGCGCAGGCGAGCAACTGCGATACGTGTGGAGAGCAATATCGATGTTAGATACCGGAGTACCTGATCTCCTGTGTAATGAGATTGAAGTACGAAAGTTGACATATGATCTGTCATCGTGCCTGTAGCATAATTTCATACGGCACTTCCATCACCTTAACATTTAGTCATTTATACCGCGGCCGTGGCGGTGAAGAAGGGTCCTTACTGATAATTTGAAACGTTTGTCTCAAAATAAAGCTCATTAGCTCTCTTCCTCTTCCTCCTCCTCCTCCCCTTCCTCCTCCTCCTCCTCCTCCTCCTTCTTCTTCTTCTTCTTCTTCTTCTTCTTCTCCTTCTCCTCTTCCTTCTCTTTGTAGCCTTGACAAAGCATGTCTGCAGTAGGACGGGAAGTTGCAACTTTTACCAACGCGTGTGCACTTGGGCATACAAAAGGGGAAACTCTGTTGTTGCCTAAAGAACTGCAAAATAAGACCGTCAGTTTTTTGGTTTAAGAAAGAACCAAGTCCTTCCTGTTTGCGGTGTTGTAAAAATCTTGCTGTAAGTTAAAATCATGCACTAGGAATAGGGCAGATCCTACCCTTGCTCAAAAACAGAACTATTTTTATATCGCACGCATCTAAAACAAAACAGGAAATGAATCCTGTACTTCGTTACCGTCTTTCAAACTGAAGGATGCAGTTTACTCGCGTTTTTTGAAAAGGCTGTTTACTACCTCGCCCTTCAGGTTGAATGAAAATGACGGTAACTATGATCCTGAACCGATGTTGGTGAAGACAGAGGCGACCAGAAAGAGCGATTCTGACTTACCGGCTATCATCAACTGTACCTAACCCAAACCTAGGCCGCAAAGGTCGGAGATTCAAGGCCTGTCTCAGGCAATCCTCGAGCTCAGGGCTCTTACAGACAAGTCAGAGGCTAACGTTCTGTCGACTGCAATCGAGTGTAGAATGTAAAGAAGACGTTATTTAATGCCAAATTCTTGTAAGAAGGAGTATTTTTGTGCAACATTAACTACCCAGGTTGGGGTTGTGTCTGGCTGATGATAAGTCGTCTCTGTCTTCACTAGCATCAGTTTGCGATTGTTGATACGGCCATATGAATTCCACTAGAAGAGAGAGTTAACAATATTTCTGAGTCTGCTTAAGCAGTGTTGTATTTTTCCATGGATCTGTAATGCCCCCATAAATTCATATATATATATATATATCAGCGGGGAGGGCCGACAGAGAATGCGGGTAGATTGATACAGTACTGTTACGGGCTTATTGTGCCTTCATTCAGCCATTATATCCCTGACCACCAGCAGCTGGGACCAGAAACACATACATGCGCACAGACGCACCTGGCGCAGTTGATCCACCACTGGGGTCTACCAGATGGGGTCATAAGCACTTCATCGAGCCGAAGTTCATCAGTGCCTCGCCACCTGTCATTCTCTGTCGCTGCAGATCGGGTATTTATCAATCAGGAATGGGCGCACACCGATCTATTGGCTTCACGAAGCAAACAAGCCCCATATGTGTGGCAAAGGTCACGAACAGGCAACCAATTACCAGGCCGAAGTCGGCCAAGTCATAATAGCAGCGAGGAGGGACGATTGAATACATACCCGATCTGCAGCGACAGAGAATGACAGGTGGAGAGGCACTGATGAACGTCGGTTCGATGAAGTGTTTATGACCTATCTGGTAGACCCCAGTGGTGGATCAATTGCGCCAGGTGCGTCTGTGCGCATGTTTGTGTTTCTGGTCCCAGCTGCTGGTGGTCAGGGTTACGATTGGCTGAATGAAGGCACAATAAGTCCGAAACAGTACTGTATCAATCTACCCGCATTCTCTGTCCTCCCTCCTTGCTGCTATTATGACTTGGCCGACTTTGGCCTGGTATCTGGTTGCCTATTCATGACCTTCGCCACCCATACGGAGCTTGTTTGCTTCGTGAAGCCAATAGATCGGTGTGCGCCCACTCCTGGTTGAATAAATACCCGATCTGCAGCGACAGAGAATGACAGGTGGCGAGGTGGTGCATCGCAAATAAATGGGGATACTCGCAATGCTTAACTAGGTGCTGTTTTATCTAGTCTGATTTTCCTAGGTGGTCTTTAGGACGTGCATTCGAGAGTCGACCTCCTGGCGTGACTGGAATGTTTCTGGACAATGACGAATCATAATCAGGGTCATAAGCACCCCTAGGTGATCTTTTCTGTCCATAATCACATTTTAGGATCTCAGTTAATGTTTCATGACTTACGTCGCCTCTGTAAGGAGATAGTTTTTAAAATCGTCTACGCGTCCTGCTGCTATGCTAACAGACGTCGGTTCCCTTCAGAAGCTCCGTTAGTCAAATAGTGTGGGCAGACGCATGCAAGCTCAAATTAAAAATAACCTTAACGAATGAGTATTCCTCCTAGCCACGCTCTCTCGAGAAAACACCAAGCATTATTAACTGTTGGTTTGCGTGAAGTGCGCTTGTTGCTGGTGTAGGTAAAGGTTTGACGTACGCCTCCATTGGTGACGGCGCATCGGTACAGTTTGAAAGTTTCGTCCTGCAAAATTCCTACAGTACACCCATCTCTAGCAAATGTATTAGGCAGAAAATTGAATAATATTTTACCATATTGCTTCTTATTTGCTGATCTTTATGTGCAGTAGATGTGCTAATTCAGGAAATGCTGGCAGATAGTCCAAAATACGTTTTCGACTCGAAAAGATTACCTAGGCATGATTGTAATATTAATCACCATTCAGCACAACCCCAAGATAATTCAGTCACTTGAGGATGTCAGCTTTTAAAAGAAATTGTTTCCGTCCGCCTCCAAAAATCATACGCTGTAAAAAACGAGTTTTCCCATAGTTTTTGATGCCATTATAAATTCAAATCTATTTCATAGAAAACACGCATAAAAATATCCCTTATTTTACTCATTTGGTAAAGAATTATGTCGTCTTCATTTTTCATACTAAAAGGAAGGGTATAATTCAAATGCCTCCACTGCGCGTAAGAAGGCGAATGTCTGCAAGCGCATTAACGATAATTAATAAATTCACGTAAGTAACGTCGGGGAATAGACTCGATCGCGTTCATTATACAGACAGAAATGTTGCACCACCAACTGCGCACTTTCCTGCTAGTCCAGCTTTCAGCTAAAGTGAAGAAAAGAGGTAAGTCCTGGAGACTGTCGTATTCGGGAATTCTTGAGGATGAACGAAAACCAGTGTAACAATGGTTAATAGCCATAGGTGTAAGTGGTGGGTGGGTAATGGGTATCCCGTCATCTTCGAAATCCTTAATAAGACCCACTAGGCAGTATTTCCTAGTCTCTGCACGTTGAACCATCTTAACATGGGAGTTGCAGGAAGATGTACTAGTATCGACATGCAGTCCTCTCCTCCTTTACTCAACCGTTGGTTTGGTGTTTCCTTGACTCACGCATTCCTCCTCCTACATCTTACTGCCCACTTATTCTGCTCTGGTTTTCTAGAAAAGCAATACTTCTACACCTAAACGCACGAGGCAACTGGTCGCACTCTCTGTCTTCCCCTTCTCTGTGCATGTTGTCTGTTGGAGCATTCTTGCCGACTGGGGTTGACGGCGGGCGTAGGTCCGGGCATGGCGTGAAAGTCGCTGCCTACAATTGCCACATGCATATATTAAGACACTGGTTAAGGACAAACACAGACTTACAGCATCTCGATCATGAGCAGATTTGGCAAGCTCAAAAACTGTCCCATTTGGAAGGGGTAGCAGTAGGTAAGTCTGATCAATTCCTGTCCCTCATACTACTGGAAAAATGATCTGTTGTGAGTGAAAACGCAGTTACGAGACTACAGGGCTTGATGTAAAACAGTATCAAAAAGGAGGAAGGTTGACGAATGGGAATGCGACTGCAGAACCTGTTTTGTCGGAGTTGCCTGACTGTTATTAGTGCAGTAATTCGTTCCCCTCAACATCAGTGGTCGCAAGCGCGGTCGGTCGCTGTGCGTGGAGCCTAGCACATATATGAGGTCCAACTTTAGGATGTCGGTCTTTCGCCGAAATAACGATTCAGCCATGCTGGTGGCCCAGTGACTACGAGCGTGAACTGATCTCAGGTGACCTACTTATCAGTCAGGCGATACAGTTTCATTCATTATCTTTGTTAAGCCATTTCCCTCCTGGGACCTGATGACATAGACGAGGAGGGAGCGATGTCGCCTTTGACCATCTTTCCATGTTATATAGTAGGTGTGATAACACATCAAATGTTAACGAGATTCCGAAGTGCGCTTTCGTTTCAAAAAGATTACTGAAGTAGGGTTTTAAAACGAATAATCATGCGACATAATTCTAAAATAATTCATTGACCTCGAGATGCCGGCTTATGAAGGAACTTCTTTATGGCTTCATGCAAAAACTATACTTTGTAGGAAATGGCTACTTATGTGGCATGCATTTCTATCATTGATTTTCGATGCCCTTATAAATTGAGACATATTTCATAAAACCATGCATAAAAGCATTCATACTTTTGCTCATTTAATAGACAATTACGTCTTCTTCCAATTTTACACTCGAAGGCAGGGTATAATTCGGTTTTAAAAAGTTTCTGATTATAAAAATTTTTTATACCGTGAAATGACCGTTCTTGAGACATCATGTCTCTGCCTTTACCAATGTGGCTCGTTAAGTTAGCATTATGGCTCAAATCAACTACTAAATTTTATAAACCGCTTATGGTTTTCTCCTAATACCGTAGAGGAACGTATGGTTTTCAAAAGGCAGAGGATATACAGCTTGTAGTTTGTAAATCCTGAATCCAAGTGTAAGACAGTTCGGGTTCAAAATTAATCGGGAATTGGACTGGTTTTTAAAAATAGAATTACACCCTTCGTTCGAGTATAGATTTAGAAGAAAACGTAATTTTCTACCAAATGAGCAAAGAATGAATATTTTTATGCGTGTCGTCTATGAAATATAAATGAATGTTCAAGGGCATCGAAAATCGATGAAAAAATGTCATGCTACTTATGCAGTCATTTTTTACAAAGTGTGGTATCTGCATGCGGCCAGAAAGAAGTTCGTTCGAAAGCCGGTATCTCGAGGTAAATAAATTATTTTAGAATTATGCTGCACGATTATCAATTTTAAAACTCTACTTTAGTAATCTTCTTGAAACGAAAACGCACTTCGGAATTTCGGTTAACATTTGATATGTTAGCATACCTACTGTACGCCTGGTCATCCTATTGATTACAAAGATGGTATTCACTGGGTAGTATAGACCAAGCGCAGGCCGAAAATAATCGATCTATCGGCGCACCTTGGCCATAAAACAAGCCCTCCTTTTTGCGCGGACCGATTACGGTTTATTCGTAACCGCCAGCGTACTTGTCGGCAGAAGAACACGTGTAATAACGTGGATGATAAACGGCAAAACAACCAGCGAAGTCCCGATCGAGTAATCGATCGCTCGACTGTTGTTGGGCCTTGAAGGTGGGATCCATTAGGAGCTCATAAACTGCTAGCATAGTCGCAGTGGTTTTAAAAGTACTACGTTCTGCAGGGTCGTGAACGAGGACTGCCAGTGGAGCGAGAAAAGAGGTAAACTGGGAATTATTTGCGGAGACAATGGGAGAAGGAGAAACGTAGTTCAAAATTCCCAGTTGATTGGCCATTTGTTTCTTAGGAGGAGTGGAGCATGCTGTTGAGGTCTCACCGCCCATGGCCAACAACCACGGCGGCAAGGTTCAGCGCAACAACATATCACCAGTCTTCCATACAAACAAAGGTTGCTCTTTATAGCATCGACTTACCTTCTGTCGTAGCGGGACTGCGTCGCAGATAATCACTGAGATGAAGCAGAAGTTCAACATATGCATACCTGATATTATCCACTAACAATGAACTGAACTTTTTGGAAAGGCCAAAAAGCTGCATAGACCTCCGCAAAAAATGAAAATCAGTTTTTGGGGTACGTTATGATACTGACAAAGGCATAGGCCACCGCCAAATAATTCGTTGGGCGCTTTACTACAGTTGGGGACTAAGTTTCAAAACGCGTGGAAATTGCAAACTACATCCTTTCCCGATGACACATTGCTTGCTGTTAACTATTTGCTGCCTGTTCTTCAGCATGTACACACAATACATTCGTTTATAAGAATCCAGGCAGCGGAGGCAGATGATTTACGCTCATATTTGAGGCAAAAATACATATGTATATGTAGATAAGGTGATACTGACAAAGACAAGGGAGACCGGAATGGCCATTTCTGGCTTATTAGTCGTCATCAGCCAGTCATACCCAACCCCACGTGTGGATCACTTGAGATTCGAACCCGGGATCTTTGGTCATGGAGTTTGACGCTCTACCATTGAGCCACGGGCCCGTTGTCCTGTCGGTTGTGATCGGGAATATCAATTATGACAGATGGGCGCTCACCGATTAGGTTACAGAACATGCTCGTTCTGTTGTGCCTTGGGGCTCATACTTAATCTCAAGTGATCCACTAAATCTCAAGTGATCCACTTAATCTCAAGTGATCCACACTTGGGGTTGGGTATGACTGGCTGATGACGGCTAATAAGCCAGAAATTGCCATTCCGGTCTCCCTTGTCTTTGTCGGTAATGGCCCGGTGGATAGAGGCGTGGACTTCTAAACCAACAGGTCGCGAGTTCGAGGCTCGGGTGTTCCACACTTCGGGCTTGGGTATGGCTGGCTGACGACGGCTAATAAGCCAGAAAGGGCCATTCCAGTCTCCATTGTCTTTTTCGGTAATGCCTTTCTGCCTATGTATCATGCGCCGCTGTGCGGCTGCTGGTTGGGCTCGAGAGAGAGCCCGTAAGGCACAACGGAACGAGTGAGTTTCGTATGAACGATCGGTGAGCGCCCCCTACCATTGCATATTCCTGATCGAAAAACCGACAAGGCAACGGGCTCGTGGCCCGATGGATAGAGGCGTGGACTTCTAAATCAACAGATCGCGAGTTCGAGGCTCGGGTGTTCCACACTTCGGGCTTGGGTATGGCTGGCTGACGACGGCTAATAAGCCAGAAAGGGCCATTCCAGTCTCCATTGTCTTTGTCGGTAATGCCATTCTGCATATATATATATATATATATATATATATATATTCACTCAGGAATGGACGCACACTGATCCATTAGCTTCCCGAAGCGAAAAAAGCTTCGTATGGGTGAGAGGGGTCACGAACGGGCAACCATCCACCAGGTCGAAGTCGGCAAAACTATGACAGAAGAGCGGATACGACAGAGTCTGAGGGGGGGTGTAAATTGATACAGCACTGTTTCGGGCTTGTTTACCTTGATGCAGCCGATCATAACCCTGACCAACATCAGGAACACAAAAAACACAAACATGCGCTCACACATCTGGTGGAGCTGGTCCACTACTGGGGTCTACCAGATGGGTCATAAACACTTCATCGAACCGAAGTTCATGAGTGCTTCGCCACCTGTAATTCTCTATCGCTGCAGATCGGGTATTTATTTAATCAGGAATCGGTGCACATAACTTAGCCGACTTCGGCCTCATAGGTGGTTACCTGCTCGTGACCCCTATTATCCATGCAAGAGTTGTTTGACTCGGTAAGGCAATGGATCACACTGCGGAGCTCATTATTTCCGTTTTACCAGTCAGCATCTGGACAGCGGCGCGTAATATAGGCTGGTAACATTATTGACAAAGGAGAATGGAATGGCCGTTTCTGGCTTGTTAGCCGTCGCCAGCCCGCCACATCCAACTCCGAGGAGTGCAGCACCTGGGGATCGATTTCACGACCTGTTGTTTGGAAGTCCGGCACACCAAACCACTGAGCCAGGGACTCGTTTTCTTGTCGATTGCGGTCGAGTGAGGCTGGCTGATGACGGCTAGTAAGCCAGAGATCGTCACTCCATTCTTTGTCGGTAATGGTAGTCTGCCCATATTACACGCCACAGTGCGGCTGCTGGTTGGGCTCGAGGGAGGTCAAAGGCGCAACGGGACGAGCTATTTCCGTAACACGATCCATAAGCGCTCCTCCAAACGTAACCGACGGGACAACGAGCCTTCTGCTCAGTGGTTAGGGACGTTGGACTTTTAACCAACAGGTCGCGGGATCGGCCCCCAGGTGTCGTACTCATCGGAGTTGGGTGTGGCTTGCTGGAAGCGGCTAATAAGCCGGAAATGTCCATTCCAGTCTTCCTTGACCGCGTCAGTAATGCTAGTTGGCATATGTATGTACAGTGAGTGGGCTAACTCATGAAATGTCAACCGAAATTCTGAAATGCGTTTTCGTTTCGAAAATATTAATTAAGTAGGATTGTAAAGCTAGTCAGCCTGCAACATAATTCTATAATATTTCAGTTGCCTCAGGATGACGGCTCTCGAATGCACTTCCTTCCCGCTGCATGCAAAAACTACACTCTGTAAAAATGACTACTTAAGTGACATGAATTTTTCTCATTGACTTCCGATGCCCCTAAAAATCCAATTATACTTCATGGAAAACCTGCACACAAATATTCATTCTTTTGCTCACTTGGTAGACAATTACGTCTTCTTTCAATTTTATACTCGAAGGAGGGACATAATTGGGTTATAAAAAGGGTATAATTCGGTTTTCAAAAACTTTCCCGATTCCCGTATAATTTTGAACCCTCTCTACCGTTACACTTAGATTCAGGGTCTCCAAACTACAGACCATATATTTTCCGCGTACAGAAAACCATACATTTCTCTACGGTATTAAGTGGCCATAATGTGGGTTTCATGAAATTCAGCAGTGGATTTAAGACATGTTGTCAACTTTAAAAGCCACATTGATAAATGCAGAGACATGACGTTTTATGAACGGCCATTTCACGGTATTTAAAAGTCCGACAATTATAAACTTTTTTAAACCGAATTATACACTTCCTTCCTGCATAAGATTGGAAGAAGACGTAATTGTCTACCAAATGAGCAAAAGAATGAATATTTTTATTCATGTTTTCCATGAGATATAATTGGACTTTTAGGGACACCGAAAATCAATAAAAAAATCACGATAAATAAGAAATCATTTTTACAGAATACAGTTCTTACATGCAGTAGAAAATAAATTCATTTGAAGGCCTACACCCTGAGGTAACTGGATTATTATAGAATGATGCTGCAAAATGATTAGTTTTACAACCCTACTTAATTAATCTTTTCGAAAGGGGAACGCATTTCGAAATTTCGGTTGGCATTTCATGAGATAGCCTACACTGTATGGGCGCTTGCCGATCTCGTTAAGGGACGCACTCGTCCTGCCGTGCTTTGGAATTCAATCTCGAATCCCGCCGACAGCCACCTCGCGATAGTATTGTAGGTAGAATAATATTAAAGCTATCATTGAACGCCCCACTGTCACTATTAATACACTTGATCACAACTGACAGGACAGCGTGCCCGTGGCTTAGTGATTAGTGCGTTGAACTTCTAACTAACAGGCCGCAGGCTCGAGCTATATGGGTTGCAAGAACATGGACTGGGTGTGGCTGGCTCATGACGCCTATTAAGTTTGAAACAATAATCCTAGTCTCCCTGTCTCGTCAGTAATATCATTCTGCATTTACCTAATTCAAGTGACTACAGTAGTTGAGCTAACTCATGAAATGTCAACCGAAATTCCTAAATGCGTTTTTGTTTTGAAAAGATTAATTAAGAAGTGTTGTAAAGCTAGACAGCCGGCAACATAATTATATAATATTTCAGTTACTTCATGATGCCGGCTTTCCAATGAACTTCCATTCGGCTGCTTGCAAAAACTATGCTCTGTAAACAGTGACTACTTAGCAGCATGCATTTTTCTCATTGATTTCGATGTCTTGGGGCTCATACTAGAACCCTCGCAGGCCATTCCGGTCTCCCTTGCCTTTTTCGGTACCACCTGATTTACATCATTCTACTAGTCGCTGTGGGACTGCCTGCGAGGGTTCTAGTATGAGCCCCAAGGCACAACGGAACGAGCATGTTCCGTAACCTGATCGGTGAGCGCCCATTATCACAATTTTTATGTATGTTTGATCGCGACCGACAGGGCAACGAGCCCATGGCTCAGTGGCTAGGGCGTTGGACTTTTAATCAACAATTCGCGGCTCCGAGCCTTGGGGGTTGCACAATCGGGGGTTGGGTATGACTGGCTGGTAACGGCCGACAAGTTAGAAACGCCAATTCCAGTGTCCCTTGTATTCGTCGCTAGTGACATTTTGCCTATATACATGCAATTGTCTTTCATATGTCGCAAGCGTACGTGTAAAATCCAATTCCTCCACAAATGCCGATGAACTATTCTGGCGAAGCGAGGGATGGCACAACAGGGTAGACGAATAATCCGGAAGATCCGTTATGGCTGACGTCTTCGACTGCAGAAATATGAGAGGCTTTTGAGCCAAGTGATTATGAAGTGCGTCGGACGCATAAAAAAGGACGGACCACGCTGCCGCTAGAGGAGATTAGTAGAAGGGCCAGAGCCCTGCAAGCTAAAAAGATGCTGAACTGGCTGGTAAGGTTCAGACTACAAGCCACTCATTTCAGGAAGCGGACGAAGCCCTAATCCACAAAATTTTCTTTAAAAATCCGACATCTGACCAACTCAAAATGCTGACTAACGAAGTTTGCGTCAATACCATGGCGCCGATTCGATCAGCCTCGTGGCTAAGGTCGAATGAAATTTCAACCAAACCAGGAAATTCAATTGTATTTAATGAAAAAATGTATCAAAATATTTATTCTTTTATTTATTCGGTAGAAAATTACGTCATCTTCCAAGTTTCTACTCGATGGGAGAGTATAATTCGGTTTTAAAAACTTTTCTAATTCCCGAATAATTTTGAACTCCACCTGCTGTTATACTTGCATTCAGGGTTTCAAAACTACGAGCCGTATAATTTCCGCAAATGAAAACTATACATTTCTCTACGGTATTAAGAGGAGACCATATGGGATTTATAAAATTAAGCAGTGGATTTGAGCAACATTGTTAACTTTACAAGCCACATTGGTAAATGCAGATACATGACGTCTTCTGAATGGCCATTTCACGGTGTTAAAAAATCTTACAATTAGAAACTCTTTTGAAACGAAATAATACTCCTCCTTCGAGTATAAAATTGAATGAAGACGTAATTTTCTATCAAATAAATGAAAGAATAAATATTTTTATTTATTTTTTCATGAAATATAATTGAATTTTCAAAGGCATCGAAAATCACTGAGAAAGTCGGACGCTACTTAAGTAGTCATTTTTCGCAGAGTATAGTTTCTGAATGCAGTCGAAAATACGTTTGTTCGAGAGAAGGCACCCTAATGTAACTGGATCATTATTGAATTATGCTGGACGGTGATAGATTTTATAACCATACTTAATTAATCTTTTCGAAACGAGAGCGCATTTCGTAATTTCGGCCGACATTTCATAAGCTAGCCCACTTACTGTACTTAATCCTTGCAAGCAAATACTTGGTGAAACCCCGCTTACACTAAAATGTGTCTGAAATCGTTGAAAAAGACTTAAGAAAACACCAAATACGAGTGGCACACAGACCTGCAACTGCCTTACGCAGTCAGCTTGCACCCGCCAAGGATAGAGTTGGCTATCCGCAGAAGAAAGAAGTCGTCTACAAGATCCCATGCAAAGCGTGTGATGACGTATGCTGCAGCCAAACTAGAAAGTCTGCCTCTACACGCATCCAAGACTATCAGCGAGATCAGCGCTGTCTCAGAGGCATTCGCAGTGACCAACGGAGTGAAGCAGGGCTGTGTGCTGGCACCAACCCTCTTCAGTCTTATGTTCTCTGCCATGCTGATGGACGCCTACCGCGACGAACGCCCTGGAATCCGCATCGCCTACAGAACGGATGGTCATCTCCTGAATCGCCGGCGCATGAACTTCCAATCGCGCGTATCCACAACTACCGTGCACGAACTCCTCTTCGCCAACGACTGCGCCCTGAACACCACCTCCGAAGCGGAGATGCAACGGAGCATGGACATATTCGCCGCCGCCTGCGAGAACTTTGGGCTGGTTATCAACACGCAGAAGACGGTGGTGATGCACCAACCGCCGCCCAACTCAGCCGCAGCCCCCAACGCGCCGCAAATCCATGTGAATGGGACTCAACTGCAAGTGGTGGAGAACTTCCCGTATCTGGGCAGTACCCTCTCCCACAACACCAAGATTGATGACGAAGTCGCCAACAGGATCTCGAAAGCCAGTCAAGCCTTCGGTCGTCTCCGAAGCACAGTTTGGAATCGCCACGGTCTCCGACTGAGCACGAAGCTGAAGATGTACAAGGCCGTCATCCTGCCGACGTTACTGTACGGAGCAGAGACATGGACGGTGTACACGAGACAGGCACGCCGACTGAACCACTTCCACCTCAGTTGTCTCCGTCGCATCCTGAGGCTGAACTGGCAGGATCGAATCCCCGACACGGAAGTACTGGAACGAACGGGAATCCCCAGCATCTACGCCATACTGAAACAAATGCAGCTGCGCTGGAGCGGCCACCTGGTGCGCATGGACGACGAGCGACTACCCAAACGACTCTTCTACGGAGACGTCGCGACGGGTTCTCGTCGTCAAGGAGGCCAAATTCGCCGTTACAAGGATACCCTGAAGTCCTCCCTTAAGCGCCTGCACATCAACCCGACCAACTGGGAAGAGCTCGCTCGCGATCGTCCGACATGGAGGAGAACAGTGAAGACGGGCGCTGCTATCTATGAAGCCAACCGCATCGCCGCCGCCAAAGCGAAACGCGAAGCCCGCAAATCACAACTTCGCCCAGTCCGCAACGCCGCCGCACAACCTCCCCCTACGTGTCCTCGATGTCAACGGACATTCCGGGCACGAATCGGACTTGTTGGACATCTTCGGATCAACTGCACCTCTCGCACTGCTCCAGCCATCGTCCCCCCGCCCGCATCTTCCTCGTCCCCTCTTCCGCCAACTAACTCTGACACTCCTTCTGCACCACCACTTCCATCCTCCCTCTTCTCCTCTACTGCCCCAGCGGCGGCCGCTCAGACTGCCGTCTCACACATCACCAACCCCGACCCAATAACCGCCACCACCCCCACCTCTCCCGATTCCAGTGATGAGGATCAGGACTACACCTGCCCTCACTGCGACCGCACCTTCACCTCTCGCATCGGCCTGGTTGGTCACTTGCGAATCCATCGCACAGAGACTGGCGAACCAATGCCTGGAGCACCAACCTACACTCACCGCACTCGCCTCCACTGCCCACACTGCCCTCGCACCTTCACGCATCGCATGGGTCTATTCGGCCACATGCGCATCCACGAGAGCGGAATTGAACGCCGCCTTGACAAACCCACCCCGCCGAGCCCCACTCCCAATCCATCACCTTGTGCACCCACTAACCACTCCCCAGCCGACATCGACGCCACCGACCTTACCACCCCTCACTCCTCCCCTTTCTCCTCCTCTTCCACCTTCACTGCCACAATGACGGCCACTCTGGCGTCTGTAGCGCATGACTCGACCACAGCCGCACCTGACACAACAACAGGCACAACCCCTGCAACCTCCATCATCAGACGTGAGGGCCAGGGCTACATCTGCCCTCACTGCGATCGCACCTTCATCTCACGCATCGGCCTGGTCGGTCACTTGCGAATCCATCGCACAGAGACTGGAGAACCAGTGCCTGGAGCACCAACCTACACCCACCGCACTCGCCTTCACTGCCCACACTGCCCTCGCACCTTCACGCATCGCATGGGTCTATTCGGCCACATGCGCATCCACGACGACCTGCGGTAGACAACCGCTGGTCACACCACACATTCCCTCACTCCCTACCTCCTAACACCATCACCCCACCAGACATCAACCCCCACACACCTCATGCACTCAACTGCCGCCTCCCACTCAAGTGGGAAGTGTGCATCTCGACTCGGTCCCCATGCGTTTTCGGCTGCACGGGTGACTTGTGTCCGAGACTATCCCGACACGTCAAGTGTCGTGGATAGGAAGGTTGCTGATTGAGGCCCGCTCTCGGTTCACGCAGTTCGTCCCGTTGTGTGTGTGTTGTGTAGTGGCGGACTGGTGGGCTGGGGACGGGCTGAAGCAGCACCTTCCACGGCACTCTCACGCAAGTGGGAGACACGCCGTTCTACCCCCGTTGTGTGAAATCCTGGTGTTTGTGTGTATGGGGGGCCAGGTCGTGCTGTGGCGCGCGCAGGCATGGTCAGTCGACCAAGTCAGCCACCGCGCCCATTCCCCACTCCAGTCTACTGACCGGCTCGGACAGTGGCTGGGGTGTGGGAATGGGAAGGGAGAGTGAGGTCGACGACTCAGCGCATTTTCCTCACTATAATCGATCTGACGCGCTTGAAGCTATCACGGTGCGCTAAAAGCCGTGGCTTGGAAGGTTGCCAACTGACGGGGTACCTTGGACCTCCTCCATTACTGGAGGCGGTCTGAGAGTCAGGCTGCAATGGCTCCTTTTTAATGTGGCCTTTATGGCATTCCCACCACAGCGTGGGATCCGAGCCAGGCGTTGGCGGCACGCCTAGGTGCGGCTTCGGCCGTGCCAGCCTCCAAATCTCTGTTGTGTTGGTTGAAATCCTGGTTATTGTTGTGTGGACCAGGGGGTGTGGTGGAACGCCAAGGTGAGGATCCGTCCGAGCCATCCACCTGCGGTCTCCCTCGTCTCCGGTCTTCTTGACTCTGTCTTGACACCGGGCCCAGGCGGGGGAGAAGGAGAGAGTGTAGGTAGATGCTACGCAAGTCTACTGGCACTATAAACCCCTGCGTAAGTCACCGTCCCTGCTCCCACTGCTGCTGTAGCTGTGAGGCATACGGTGGACATCGTCGAAATCGACGGTCGAACTGTCAATTGGCACATTGAGTCAGACGTAATGAATAAAAATCTCAGGGGAAGATGGAAGAGACGAGAACCGATCGACACACAATAGCATATTCGGCGGACGCTTACTGCAGAAACGCCGGAGTATTGATTTTCGATCGCGTTAGAAGTGTTGACTGTTTTCTTGTATATTTACTCAAGTCTGATAGCGATCCCGGGAATTGACGTCGAAAATCTAACGATAAAGTTCTTAATTCTAGCAAAGGGCTTACGTCTTCAACATATATACATGCATTTATATAATACGCAGGCAGCTTACTAAGAGTACAACAGGTAAGACGCAGACAACTTTTTCCTGGTCATTATCGATCATCAGACATCGAAGGCCTTATGAAGTGAGGTAGATAAGCATGTCGAGTATTGATTACAGATCTTCATTTTGGAAGAGCATTTTCTTCTGCGATGAGGTTCTATTTTTAGACAAGCCTACGAAACCGCTCCAAACTGTCATATGTGGAAAGAACTTCCCAAGAGAACACACTACACCAACGGCAACATTCAAGAACTGTCGGCGGATGACGGTTTGGATGGCGATTAAATTCGGTGAGCGGCCTGTCTGGCGGTCAACATCCGGCACCATCAACAGCAAGGTGTTTATTGCAATTGTCAAGGATGCTTTCGGCTACAACGGCACAAGTCGGCGCCGAATGGATACTGTACTTTTGCAGGACAATGCACCTGTCCACCGCTCTAAAGAGGTACGAATTTGATGCCGCTTGCAAATATAATCTAACATTTCAGACAACAACCACCCTCTCCGCCATCGGTCTCCAATCCATTTTCATCCCGGCCAACATTCCCGATTTGAATCCTATCGAAAATCTTTTTGGAATAGTCAAAAGAAATTGGCACAAATCTAAGAAGACTCTTTCAATGCAGGGAAAATTGGATTTCATACTCAATAATTACATTTTACAATCCACCATAGATAACCTCGTCATGTCTATGTCTGACTGTCTTTCTGCCGTTATTAATTCAAATGGACAATCAACAAAGTACTAATTTTTTGTATCTGTTTCTGTCCTTAATTATTTTTGACCTTTTATGCGCCCTCCTCCTTTATACGCCCTCATACGTAGCCTTTATTAACTTGGTTGTAATATAGGCGTTTCTCGAAAATGTGACTTTTGTCGAAAATTATTTATTTTTATCTCAGTAAAGAATATTTTCTTAACCAAACTTTGCTTTATTTCTTCGACACATCGTACATTTTCCGCTATCAGACTTTGGGAGCCGTAGTGTTTACCGATTCTGCGTTTAAGTCGTTAATCTGTGTTAATTCATGGCATTTCATGAGTTAGCACAGGTACTGTACATATACATGATGATGATGATGATGCCGACAAAGACAAGGGAGACCGAAATGCCCATTTCTGGCTTATCAGCCGTCGTCAGTCAGTCATACTCAACCCCAAGTGTGAATTACTCGCGATTCGAACCCGCGATCTTTGGTCATGGAGATTAACACTCTACTATTGAGCCACGGGCCCATTGTCCTGTCGGTTGTGATCGGGAATATCAATTATGGCAGACGGGTACTCACCGATCAGGTTACGGCACGTGCTCTTTCCGTTGTGCCTTCGGACCCATACTGAAGCCCTCGCAGGCAGCCACACAACGATTAGTAGTACAGGTAAATGAGATGACACCGAACGGGGAAGGTCACTTCTGGCCTGCTAGCCGTCATCAGCCAGCCATACTCAATCCCAAGTGTAGCCATTCCGATTTCTCTTGTCTTTCTCGGTATCATCACATGTACACGTGCGTTTGTACACCGCACAGATGGTTCACAATCGGGGTCTAGCAGATGGGTCATAATCACTTCATCAAACCTGGGCATCCGCATGTTTGTTCCGTGACCTGATCGGTGAGTACCCATCTGTCCTAATGGATATTTCCGATCACAACCGACAGGAAAATGGGCCCGCGACTCAATGGTAGAGTGTCAGACTCAAGTGATCCACACTTGGGATTGGGTATGACTGGCTGATGACGGTTAACAAGCCAGAAATGGCCATTCCAGTCTCCCTTGTCTTTGTCGACACCCTGACATTTACTTCTACTACTACTTGTCGTTGTGCGACTGCCTGCGAGGTTTCTAGTATGAGCCCCAGAGCACAACGGAACGAGCATGTTCCGTAACCTGATCGGTGAGTGACCATCTGTCATAATACATATATATTGAGAGATGAGCATGCTAAGAAGTTTAGTTAAGAAGTAACAAGCCCTTTGGGGAATACGGAAAACTGTTTTCCATAAATTTTCGACACGAAGTATCAGTCCAGGTCATTAATTATTGGCAAGAATAAAAAGACAGTATCGATTTTTAGACAATTTTAAAAATTTTGACTGTTTTACATATCTACCATACTTCCGAAGGCGACCTGGGGAACCAGTGTGTCGAAGTTTGTCACACTTCCCAGAGGACTTATAACTTTCTAATATATATAATCATGTACATATACATATCAAGCGAATAATTTCAGTAATTATTCAGTGCACAACATGAAGTTAAGTCTCCGAGACATGACTTTTTTAGGGTCAGACTGGAAATTTCAATGAACATTTGAGTCCAAGGCAATCAACTACTGTGTAATAACAACGTAATGTCCATTCTACAAACGAGAAGTACTACGAGTGTTATGAAATGTACATGGCAAACTATTATACGGTACTCCCGACATATACATATATTTGAAGACAAATACGTTCTTTGGGAAAAGTAGAAAATTTTATTCATTAAATGTTCGATGCTGGTTCCCCAGGTCGTCGTCATACTTGAGCAAATGTGCAAAAACAATTAACATTTCGAACGTGCTGAAAAATCTATATTCATTTTGCGTTTGCGCCAGTAGGCTGCCGCCGTAGGCGTCATTCGGTATTGATTAGCTCTCTTCTCCTCTACGTCTTCCTGAGATTTCTATACCTGTAATCTAACCCAATGTGTCGACTGATGCATGATTCATCGGAGTCCATGGCTTCGAGAAACTCTCGGCCTTTTGTAGAGTGGCAAACTCCGATTATGCGAGTTTTGTCCCATGCGAAGGTGTGTCCAGTGTCTAGAGTGTGCATAGCCATTTGAGACAGGTGGTCTCGTTTTTTAACTGCCAGTTGATGTTCATGGATGCGTGTAGAGGCAGACTGCCCCATTTGCTCAAGTCTAAAGACGATCTTGGGAACCAGCGTTAAAAATTTGTTGAGTAAAGTTTTCTACTTTTCCCTAGGGACGTATTTGCCTTCAAATTTAATTTTTTTGAATGTCTGCGTTCCAACATATGTGTATACGTGTAGTGGAGGGGCTCTCACCAGTTGTGTTATGGAACTCGGTCGTCCCGACTAGGTCGCCCAACCGGTAGCCGCACACCGGCACGTATTATACATTACCGACAAAGACAAGGACGATTGGAGTAGTAGCCGTCGTCAGCCTGTCATATCCAACCGTGAAGTGTGAAACACCTGGTTTGACTGGCTAACGATGGCTAGTAAGCCAGAAACGACCATTTCAGCCTCCAATTTCTTTGTCATTGATGTTTCTCTGTATGTGCGTAACCAAAGTAACTCGGGTCCCGACCTCAGGCGCCCCCGAACCTGGCCTTGATAAGGTTGGTTGACGGCAATTAATAAGCCAGAAATCGTCACCCCACGCTCCTTTGCCCTTGTCGATAATCTCCTTCCACACTAATTGCTGCGCGACTGTGTTCGGACATCTAGATTGAGCCCCGAAGCGCAACGGGTTTAAAGATCCCGTAACTCCTATCAAAGTGTGTACAACAAAAATTCTCAAAAGGCAGCCAGGCCCCAATACATCAAGACAAAAAGGGCCCCTTGGCGAGCCGCTGACTTGGTTTCTCTCCCCAAGAAGCATCCACTGTGGTGGTTCTGACCTCCAGGTTAAGAGGATCCAAGACAGCTTATTCCTTTCGCTACTGCCTTAACCGCAGCCCTGAATCCTAACCCTGAAGCATCCAATGCAGAAGTTAGAAGGAGACGACAGACCGAAAGTCAAGAAGGACCACCAGCCATGGCCCAAAAAGATACACGCGGCAACAAAGAAACAAGGCCGCCAGAAGAATACACACCGCAACGCACAGCAACACCATGGCAACGTAATCACACCAACTCAAAATAATTAAGTAGGTCAACAGTACTGTGTCCATCAGGTGCGGCCACATAACCACATCTTACCGATGTGTTTTTACCGGTATTCTTTACTCATGTTCAAAATACACTTAAGGTGCGCCGCTACAGCATACGCTTACTACGGCTTCCGGTAGCTCACTGCTCTTACCGTGCGACGTCAACGAGTGAAAGTTGGACAATCGATCGTTCGAAAAAAGTGATCAGTGGTGTCCTACGCCTACAGCCTAGCCGGGTGCGCCGAGCAAACAAGGCCAGTAACAATAAATAGGGTGTTCTGGGGACGGATATTGAAGAGAAAGCCGAACAACCGACCTAGTAAAGTCGCTGTTTATAGTCCAATCTGCTCTACAAAATAACTGATAACCTGTAACTCCTTATAGATAAGATTTATTTCTTCGGAAAAATTTATCCCAATTGTTGATTGACTGACAGGGAGTTAGGGGTCGTTTTTTAATCTTTCTAATGCTCTTCAGTTTGAGTGAACTCTAGCATAAATGCAAATATTGTCTGTTAAAAAGCATAAACTGTTGTGTAGGAGTGACTTTAAAGACTGAACTTACCTGCATGGCGGAAGAGCCAAACCTCGAACTGATCGGTAGGGAGAAGTGCCAGAGAAAAATCCCCTCTCGGTTTCAGCACATCCGTGTTTCTCTCCCTCTCTGTATGCCATCTTCCCTGCCTCAGTCAGAGTATACATGTACAAAAATGAAACATTTCGTTCGTTAACCAGAGGCGACGGGTTCCTCTACCTGCACCTGTCGTCCAGACGTGCACATCACCAAAGCCGTTGTCACCATCATCGCTACCGCCGCCACCACCACCACCGCCGACATCGTCCTCATCGCCGTCGGCGGCATTTGCGAAAGCGTCAGCAACGGAAGCTGTAAACTCCTAGAGTCATCCCACTATGTCCAAAAACAACCGACTTTCACGTCATGCGCCGAATGTTCTCTCTCCCCTTTTCGCGCGCTCTCCGCCGCCGACATGGCTCCTGTCGGTCTGACGGTAGTGGTCTGGAACAGATACTTAAATGGCGGCGAAGACTCGCGAGGCGCAATCGCCTGCGCCCATACGCGCCTGCGTTGAGCTCACCCCGCTCTGCCAATTAGCTCTCTCTCTCTCTCCCTCGCCTGCTTACTCATTCCGTCGCCGTATGTTCGCCCAATTGTACCTGTTTAGACCTTGAAGCCCCACCTACCGTCCTACCTCCCTTCCTCTCGCGCTCTCTCTCGCCCCGTCTCGTGTTTAGCCCATCGCATGACCGTCCCGCAGACGGGCGGCCGACAGCATCTAGGCGCACAGTCGTCGCGTGGCGTGACCACGTCAACAACTTGCCTCCACCAAAACACACCCACCGCGGCAGCGGCGGCGGCGGCGACGGCCGCAACGAATCGATCTATGGCCGTAGAGTGAGGACATATCAATCGACCACCAGGAGGGCGTCGTCATCATAAGGGCCTTGTCACACAACCCGGCCGGGTCATTCCTTGGCGCAGGGAGAGAACGGGGAGGGTGGGGGGGGGGAGCGGGGTGGTGGGAGCTCGGCCCACTTTTGCACACGCGTGCTCCCATTGTTACCGGAGGGCGAAACAATCAGTCCGGAATGGGAACAGCCCGCGCACTCACACGCACACAATCGTCAGCCGGCAACGGACTGCACAAAACCTGTGCTGCGGCGGGAGCAGGAAGCAATTCCTGTAGGAGCTCCGTGGATAGTGCTCAGTTCAAGAAAAGGTTGGCGCTAGGGTCAACTGTACCTGAGAATGTGAGAAATTTTGTTCAGTGGGAGAAAGAAGTGGACACCGTGCAGATGCTCCTCTCTCGTCAGCAACCGTGCTTCTGTCTCTCCGCTTGAACCTGATGTGAGTGCGAGGGGAAAGATGATGAAGCGGTGCAGCCTGTGAGTGCACGTGCCATCATCTTCTTACAGCGATTTAGAACCAGTGACTTTTAAGGTTGTCAAGTGGAGACGAAACTCCATCTTGTGAAAAGTGTCCACACTGTTCACTCACAGACGTCCTTCTGATTCCTCTGCTGACAACGTGGTATTGTCTTGAATTGTAGCCGGCAGACGCACTGAATTTCTATGGGGTCATCATGGATTTTAAGTCTTCGCCCTGAGGTCAGGACATAAAGCTTTTCATAGTAAGCAGAAACTTGTCCTCATTAAGGCACGGAGGAAAAAGTTTGGCGCAAGGAAAGATAACCTAACAGGCTGTTTCGCGATTGGCTTTCATCAACGGTAGGCGTCGACCTCTTTCTGGCAGGGAGTTATGTCCGTTCCATCTGGAATTCGAAGTCCCGGCCAAAAAGTGGGTTAAATTTACATCGTGTCTAGTGAGGAACATTCCCGAGCTCGAAACATAATCACTGTACTCACCCTGCTGTTGCTCTCCGCTTTACTTTTGCTCGCTCTAGCATTATCTATTGTCATACACTTTAGGTAGATGCTCATATGGGATCTGATCACCGATTACAGGCTTTGGCTACAGACTTCAAGTCTTCATGAAATATTTTGGGGAAAGGAGTTTCGACAGGATGAAACCTGCCCTCATACAATAATGCCTTACAAGCTCAGGAAGCCTGTGGAAAAATCGGTTAATTGTCAAAATTCACTTCCGGTTGACACTCCCTTTAAGCAAATCGACAAGGGCAGGTTGTATGACCCCAATGGATTTACTGTGCCTAACTAATTACTACATTTGATCTAGTAGCCCTAGTCGAGTTTGCTAATTCATGGCTACGGAAGGCCTCTTTTGGGTGTTAAAACACTGACGCTCGGTTTCCTTGACATCTCCAAACGGTTTCTATTGTCGAACGTGTACGCTGTGACTTATTTACTTTTTCGAGAGTACTTGTGCGCAATCCTTGCATAACCAATAATAAGACAGTTAAATTAAGTCGAGGTTATGTACAAGCATTTACTTTCAAGTGGTCGTTAAATTGCTTTGAGAAAGTAGTCCTTTAAGATCCCTGTCCGGGAAGCTGTTGCTTCGCAGGCGACAGAAATATTTTCCACGCTTGCTTTATGTCAAAAATGCGGAGACCAAATCACAGACGATATTGAACCTCGACTACATGAATCGATATTGCACGACCCGACATCGGTCTTTCTTCGTGCAGCTTCCGTTTCAGTCTGCCCCAATATGCCCAAGTCGCATTGGTGTGTTTTCGTATGGTCAGATTTTTGGAATGCTTGACACGTACATGCTGGAAGCGTACATAGCCTTCATATTGGAGGCGCTCGTACGCCTTCCATTCATTTGTTAGTACTATACTTCCTTTGACAGACTTGAGGGCTGACCGGTTTTGATGGTTTACCTGTCCAAGCAGGGCTTTCTTGGAACTTTCCTGCTTTAACATCGGCTGCGCCGGAAAACATATCTGTCGGCGTGTAGCCTCAATATTTGCTGACTGATTTGGCGCCCACATTGGTATTTTGCTGCATTCGGTAGCAGTCCCCTTGCTTGGTAGTATTCCACCACATTCTTATAGCTTATAGCTTCGGCTATTTCATCCGCTTTCGTCAGAAAATCAAGCCGCGGTTATCTGGCTTTTCTGCGGTCTGGAACCGATGGTCTGTGTTTTTCAAGATGTGGTTATGTAACCCCACCTAATGGACACAATACTGTTGGGGTTGGGGTTTGGGGTTAGGATTGGAGGTTAAATTTGGGGTTAGTGAGGGGGTTAGGACAACTATTTCTCAACGACTCAAAGTACAACCGCGCATTCCCAATAGCCTTTCTTTTACATACAATTACCTGACCTCGTCGCCTGTGCGTTCCCCGGCCCCACCTGTAAAAACCCCTATTACCACCGGTCTCGTATTACAGGTGGCTGGGGTTTGTTTGCTTCATGTGGGGCTACATAACCACCTCTGCTTTGTTCATTAATGCATTTCATTATCGCATTTAGCTCCTACATCTATACTTTTGTTTTCCTTAAATGTTTACATTAAATAACTGAGTAGCCTTATCATGCAGATGTGAACATGCGTTCGTACTTACACTATTTGACTTTTTCGGGCTCATTAGGGTGTATTTGCATAGCTCCTCTAGCATTCATATGCATCATTTTACATCGCAATAAATGTTCACAGCTACCATATTCGGAACTTACTGTCCATCTTTCCCATTGATTGTTCGTTCCATTGTTCCTGACCTGCCTTAAATGTGCGAGTGGCGGTTTATTCAACTATCTTTTATTAATCGACAGTTGCTTCTGGTTTATTTTTCAGTTAACGCGTTCAACTACGTTGTTATGCATAGGCGTAAGAGAAAAATTTCAACAGAAGTCTGCGTAACTTTATGTTTTAATTGCATCCATTCTGTTCCCCGTGCGCAAAGATGCCCGACCCGTAAAAACCCCTTTTGCCGTCATTCCCGTATTGCACGGACCTGGTTGCGAGGTGGGGTTACACAACCTACCGTTGCCAGATGTATGTCTATGGCCTCCCTATACGTCAGGGTCTTTAACAGTACTGTGATGGGTTTGCAGTCCCAGCATTCCATGGTTCAATTTTACATTTGTCTCTCTGTACATAACTGGCAGTTGATTGGACAATTTATCTCCGGCCACCTTTCTTCATATGTAATGTGAAAACCTACTCGGCGACTTTCAAACAGGACGTTATTTTTGCAGAATGTATGATCCGAACTTCGCCTGAACGCCTAGCTGGCCATTTCCGTTGCTACAATGTGCCTCTTTGTATTCCTCTGAATTACGTGAGCCTGGTAGTTATCTGGTGAATTCTAGATGTATTACTTAGAAAATCCTCCCTGGGCAGTCAGCTTGCTGCATCGGATTTGGTGGATTCCAGACGTTGTAGTAGGTTGGGCGGGTAAACTTAACCCAAATTTGATTAAACTCGCGTCGTCCGGTGGGACCTCGTAGCTCAGATGGTTAGAGCGTTGGCTGTTCTAAATCTTCCCCTTGCTGTCGTGGGTAGGAATCCCACCGAGGCACGGAGTTTTTCATAGTTGGGTCAAAGTGAATTATTCCTTATCTGCCATCGCAGTACAGTTGTGCGGTCAGACACGGCAGGTGGCCTCGCCCTAAAACAAGGGAGGATTCCTATTCCGGTGTCCGAACTTTACTCCTTGCTCTATCCCCAACACTTGCCTTAATCCTAACCTTTCTACCCCTAATGCTGACTGCAGTCCCAACAATAACCGCCATAGACCCCACTTTAATCCTAACCAGAGCCATAACCCAACTCTCCAACCCTAACCTCAATAATGGGCCTTCTCTTCATCGAGAGGACCTGGAGGGGCGATTTGCACCTTCCCCCCAGATATCAACGGGCTTTTTACACCCTAAAGTATTCGGTTTTGGGGCATGGCTGGCTTATGACTTCAAGTAAACCATAAAATGACCACTTTGTTCTCTCTTTTCTTTCTTCTATCGAAAACGTCCTACGGCGTGCTCTAAGGCACAACGGAAAACTCCAGATTCCGTCCGTCAGGCGGGATTAATCAGCGAGCATCACTGACGTAGTGTAGGGCGTGGACACTAGGCCTTTGATAGGGTGTCTGATCCAAATGCTCGGTGATCAAAGAGCTTGGATACGAGCCGTGGCTGTTCGCACACTGAAGTCAGTGCATGGTTGAATTAACCGGCTGAATGTACTAGAAGTGGCCGCTTGGGTGTTTCCTACCCTTGTCGGCATCCCTTATTGGTTCGAAAACATAATGTTGTCGGAAGTAAGCCCACCATTCCGGTTGCGATACTCGCGCGTCCTGATGTGCTTTGAGACTCTATCTAGAGTCCTCACTTGATGACGATAGAACGTGGGTTCGGTCCCTCTTGTCTTCCTTCTACCGTAAACGGTCAATTATGGATTCCGTCTGCCTGGCAGGATTAATCAGAGAACACGACTGACGTGTTACAGAAAGTGAACGCTAGGCCTGTCTGATGTAACTGATCAGTGATCGAAGAGTTTGGATTTGAGCCGTGGATGTTTGCACACCGAAATCAGTGCATAGCTGAATGACCAGGCCGACTGAAGTAAAGGTGTTTTGGCTTTGGTTGAGGGGCGCTCACCGATCGTTCTTACGGAACTCACTCGTTCCGTTGTGCCTTACGGACTCTCTCTCGAGCCCAACCAGTAGCCGCACAGCGACGCATGACATATGCAGAATTATATTACCAGTCGCCCTTGCCTTTGTCGGCAATATCGTTCTGTCTTGGCTTTGCCGGCATCGCTAATTGGTTCTAAAGCATAATTATGTTGGGAGTACAGTGAGTGACCTATCTCATGAAATCTTAGTCAAAATTCTGAAATGCGTTTTCGATTAGAAAAGATTCCTTAGGTGGGGTTGTAATATAGACTGTTGTGCGGCATAATCCTATGAAAGTCCTGACTCGCCAAGATGTCGGCTCTTGAATGCACTTTTAGCCTCATGTAAAAACCA